GTTCAACCGCTTCGTCGGAGCTGGAGGAGTCGGAGTCGTACGTACCTGCGAAAGGGAGGAAACGCCATGAAGTATTCCGAGTCAGAATATGACAAGATAAGAAAAGAAAAGGAACGAGGGGTAACGAAGACTACCTACGGTGGCCGCACCTTCCGGCAGCAAGCCACGCTTAGCCATGGCCCGGACTCGGGACCAGTACTTGACGGAGTACGGCCCAAAGCCCTTCAAGAACTCGCCGCCCAGGACCGCATCATCGGAAGGGACGGCACGCCGAGAGCAAGGCTTGAATAGAGCGGCCGGCCACAAGGTCGGAAAGGTGAAGAAGAGAAAGCCGGGCGGACGAAGAAGTAGAGGAGCTTCCAGTCCTTAATGGAATCGGACAGCCCCTCGAAAAGTTGTCGCCCCGGGCGAGCGGCAACTTGAACAAAGCCAGGCGAGTGCGAGCCAACCTTGTTCACGGTGAAGAGATACCGGAACAGGCCTAGATCCGGCTCGCACAACCACCAGTGGCAGAGGTTGACAAAATAGGTGAGGAGTCGGTGAGAATTGGGCACTAATTGGCCCGGAACTAAGTTATAATGGCGGTAAAAAAGGGAAAGGAAAGGACACGGAGGAACTCGGAAGCCAAAGGCAACCGAGTGCAAGTGAATGCCGACACAACCCTCGGGGGGGGTCGTAAATTTGCCGGCCCTCCGGGGCGAGGACTACGGCTGAAGGCCCAAGAAGGTATTGGGCCATTTCCAGGTCCACCGCATTAACAACGGACGGTGGCCCGGAAGGGCAGACGATGGAATCGAACTTGCCCCGCGGCCGTCCAATGCCACCTGGCAGAGCCGCCACCGTCGTCAAAGGAGCGGGGCTCAACGGAGTAACCGACCCCGAAGAAGAGGGGGTCGGAGGAAGAGAAGACGTCGGAGGAAGAGAAGACGTCGATGGAACGTCCGCCGGAAGTTCCATACGACGAAGAGAAGACGTCGATGGAACGTCCGCCGGGAGTTCCATACGACGCGGAGGAGAAGAAGAAGACGAAGAAGGAGAAGAAGAAGAGGGAGAGGTCGCCTCCGAGTTATCAACCGAGTAACGACGGGAAGAAGAAGAATGCGAGGAAGAAGACATTACCTAAGTCAGGAGGGAGATCAGAGGAACTACAGAGTGGCCGGAGAAGCTCAAAGTTGAAGTTGAAAGGAAAGACTAGAGAAGAAGAATGGAAAGAGAGACGAAATGGCTATTTAAAGGGGAGGAATCTCAAAGGACGGCCACGTGCCACCTTCTCGTTGGAGGAAGTGGAGGTGACGGGATATGAAGGGACGCCGCATTTAATGCCTCAAAAGGCGGGGTGACGGTTCAGGCCTAGGGTTAGCCCACAGACGGCGCGTCTGCCCTAGGCTAGGGTGGAACGTCAGTGACCCGGCCTGCTAAGCCGGAAGCCCGTAGTGGGCCGTGGCCTCTGGGCCCACGAGATACGAGCTGGAAGCTTCTAGAACGACCCGGTAGAACCCGGCTCATCGAATGATGTCAGCCGAGTTCAAGAAGAGACTCTAGTAACTAGGTCGGCAATCAGACTCGGCGACTCCCTCATCAGGAGGGTCTCGCCATAGCGAGACTAGGAATCAGTCGCATAGACCAGAGGTCGGACGACAAAATACTAAGAAAATGTGGGGTCGGACAGAAAAACACACAGTTTATTTAACTAGTACGAGGATTACAAGGCCCAGAACTCGGCCGATGCAAATTACAAAAGAAAGACAGGTCAAGGCTTGGCTTCTTTCTCTGTCGACGGGCGAGCAGTCGGAGGGCCTTCCAGGAGGTACTGAGAGCGGAAAGGCAGAGGACTCGGCTCAGGCTCAGGCATTTCGTCCAAATATACGGCGGGCTTCCCGTCGTCGATCATTTGCAAGGGCCTCTCCAAGGCGCTCGGCGACATGGCAACTCCAAAAAGGGGAGGAGCCTCCCACTTCTCTTCCACCATTGGTTCTGGATCCTCCACCACAGGCTCCATCTCCACGTCGATAGGCTCCCTACACATCAGGTCCAGCATGTCTGGAGGCACCACGATGGGGTCTGAAGCCGAGTCGCCCACCAAACGACCTCCGTTAGCCAACCTCTTCTGCCTCAATTGCTCCAGACGAGCATGCTCCTTGTTACGAATGGACCAGCGGCGATTACCGTCCATATAACTCATAGCGCCGTATCTTCGCAAAGTGGAGAATGTTGCGATTTGCATCAACTGTAAAGGGCCTTTATATAGCCCAGCGAAGGCAAATACCTAGGCGATAATCGCGGAGGAGATTATAACTGACATAACTGAGCCAGATTAGACGGATGACGCGAATCTCTATCAGAGATTAGTTCCATCAGATTCGCTCGAGAAGAGCGAGATTCGCACGCCAACGCAGAGAAGATTGGATTCGCCCAAGATATGGGGAATCTTGCAGGTGTCAGACTGAAAAGATTCTGATGACGTGACCGACTCCTTGACCAGTCGTCCGGATGAGTACGCAATAGAACACGACAAAACATAAGGCAAGGATAGGATTTATTATTATTATTATTATTGCAAAAAGGAGGATACAAATGGCAAGGAGCTTATTACAATAAGGAATATGAAAATGCTCCTAAAAGAAATTCCTCCGAACTATGGCCGACTCCGGTACATACGATCACTCGCCAGGCAAGGAGGAGTCGCCCCCAAAGAACCCCCCCGATGGTCCAGGCGGGGATGGACAGAACGAGTCCCAGAAAGCTGGCATGAGTCGTCGTGGCGCAATTGGCTCCTTGTCATCCGGATACACCTCCAGGTAGCGGGCGTAATCCTCATCATTCATCAGGCCCGTAACCGGCCCGTCCAGGTCGTCCAGCGGAATCGAGAAGGTCATTTTGAAAGTAAGTTGCTCTGGAACCGCCACCTCAACAAAGGACCCATCTTGAGAAGTCACTCGGGCAGTCGTGGGAGTAGGCGGATGGCGTGAAGGCGGAGCGACCTCGCGTCGAGTAGGAGTCGGCGGCTGAGAAGCTGAAGATATAGCGCCGGCAGGAGACCTCTGAGGGGCTGGGCGAGGAGTCTTCTTCTTGTGTTCTCGTTCAGGCCGAGTCCGCTTGGAGGGCAGCGGACGCCAAGGAGACCCGAAGTCAATCCGTTTTCCTTTCAGAGGAGAACGACCCATGATGGACTTGTGAAGGTGAGAGAGAAGGGAGGACGCCATTTATAGGTGCCAAGTTTAGACGGAAGAATCCAAACGGCCCCGCGAGATCCGGAGGGAATGGCTGAGGATCCGGACGTTACCGAAAACTATTCAAGGCGAAGATACGGTGATTGAAGGAGATGGACAGTTGCTACTTTTCCAAACCCAGGCTAGCGGACCGGGTATGGAAAAGTGAGGGACTAGTTGATGGGGTAAGGACCCCGGCCCAAGAGATAGGGGCCCAAAGAAAATAGATAGGAGAAGTGGGCCAGTGTAAAGAGGGGTCCGAAAAGCAATTGGGCCGAGTCCGGGAGCCGGCCCAGGCCCAAGCACGGGGCCCGGTTCAGAGCTACTAAAGAGGAGCCCAGTGGGAGCTTAGGCCGAGACGAGGAGTCGACCGAGGCCCAAGCCCAGGGGAAGACTCGGTTCAAGGAGCCGTTGAGAGCATTGAAGAGGCTCGTTTAAAAGGGAGCCGTTAGGGCATTGAAAGCGGGACTCGGTCAGGCTGTTACAAGCCTGGAAGAGTCGTTGGTCGACCAAGTAATGGCGTCCAACGGCTCCATATCTTGATTAGCCTTGAAGTCGGCCATTAAGGGCCTTCAAGTCGGTAGAGGAGGAGCCGCTATATAAAGGCTCCTCCATTCTTGTAAAAGGGGAGACAATTGAACACCCAGAGGGGGAGAATACCAAAAAGGTTCCGAGCACTAGCATTATCTCCGAGATAGGCATACCTTTTATTGAAAGGTGCACCCTCCAGCCAAAGGTTGTGTTGGACCTCCTTGGACCCGAAAACCCTAAAACCATCAAATAATAAATAAATTATTTTACAAATTAAAATTATTTTTCAAAAAACTATACAAGAAATCAAGAATCAATAGTGTAAAATTAATAAGAATAAATTTACAAATCACAATTGCTAAGTAGTAAGAAAAAGGTATTCAAAAAAAAAAAAAAAAAAAAAAAGTAGTAAAAAAAAAGTTTTAAATTTTGAAATAGAGAATGGTTTTTCTTTAAAAGGGCCTAGAAACTGGGCCGGCTCATTAAAAAATAATGACTTAGCCTAGTCCATATTACAAGCCAAGCTAGCCCTAGCCCATGCCATGTATAACAAATTGTTATACCGTTGACTAATGTTCACTTTGTATTGTAGATTTTGGTTTAAACTGACATTTAAATTATGTGTTTACGGTCAATATATTATTTACATTCAATTAATAAATTATGTGTCTGTTACAATTAACATATTATGAAAATTTAATTAAAAATCACTTCAAGTCCCATTAATCAAACTAGATAAATAAAATGGGACATAAGAAGTATAAATACCCAATTTCGTCGTAGACTATGATGGTTTTTATCAATTTAGTTCTAAATATCCTTTAATTTTGTGCTTAATTGAGTCTTGGAATGTGATGATTTTACCTAATTGAGTTATATATTTATTAAGATAGCTTGATAATTTCACATCTATTAATACCTAATTTAATCGTTGACTATAGTAATTTAACATAATTTAGTCGTCAACTATAATGATTTTACCTAATTTAGTCATCTTATACTGTGTGGTTTTTTTTTTTTTTTAGTGCTTGATTCTAACAATAGACAACACTATCAAGTCAGTGACCTAATTAAACAAATGTTGATGACTAAATCAAGAAAACTGTCAAGCACATTATGCTTAAATGATATGTAGTGATTCTTCCAGAGGTCATAAGATGGGGAGCTTAACTCTGTATTTTTTGTTATCAACCTCAAAATTGATTAGATTTTTTTTTTTTTTGAAAGGAAAATTGATTAGATTTAATCTGAGGTGATCAGGTGACAGAACTGAAATGCGGCGGGCTTGTGGTTGGATGCACATTCGATCACCGCGTCGCCGATGCCCACTCAGCAAACATGTTCTTGGTGGCCTGGGCTGATACCGCCCGTGCAAACAATACATCTTTCCGTCCATCTTTCCGGCGATCTCTGCTCAATCCACGCCGCCCTCCTTCCCACTACCCATCCCTAGATGAGATGTACTTGATGAGATCTTCCCTCCCACCGCCGCCAATCCACGACGATGATGAAGACCGCCTCATCAGCCGCATCTACTACGTCCCCTCCGACCAAATCGCGCTCCTCCAGTCCCTGGCCAGCGGCGGCGGACAACGGCGGAGCAAACTCGAGTCCTTCAGCGCTTTCCTCTGGAAAACCGTCGCCCAAGGCTGCAAAGGCGGCGGCGATGACGGGAAGAGATGCCGGCTAGGAGTCGTCGTAGACGGGCGGCAAAGAATGATGAAAAGCTGTTTTTCTCCCTCCGCCCTGCAAAGCTACGTCGGAAACGTCCTTTCGGTTCCGTTTTCCGAAGCGAGCGTGACGGAGCTCCGATCAACGCCGCTGAGTGGGGTCGCGGAGAGGGTGCACGCGTGCTTGGAGAACGCGGCGAGGGAATCCCATTTCTTGGCTCTGATCGACTGGGTGGAAGTGCACAGGCCGGAACAGGCGATCGTGAGGGTTTACTGTAAGGAAGAGGGGCAAGAAGCCGCCGTGGTGGTGTCGTCCGGGCTTAAGTTTCCGGTGTCGCAAGTGGACTTCGGATGGGGCGCGCCGGGTTTCGGGTCTTACCATTTTCCATGGGGCGGTCAAACGGGATATGTGATGCCGATGCCAAGTGTCCATTGCAATGGAGATTGGATCGTGTATGTGCACCTGTTGAAGAGGTACTTGGATGTGCTGGAGACGCAGGCTGCTCATGTCTTCAAGCCCTTAAATCATATATATCTTAACACCTCATTTCCGGCCTCCCGTTGATAATTAAGCAATGACATGTGGGCAAATTTATCCTAGACACAGCTGTGTGGATCATGGTCTAAAACAACATCATTGAATTTTATGAATTAGAACATTGTACATTATGTGTTACAATAATGAAAGTTCTGTAATAAAGATAATGTACTTTAAAATTAGAATAATGTATATTATGTTTTAGAATAGTGCACATTATGAATTATAAAAATGTATGTTCCATTGGGTTACGTGAATTTTTTTTTTACTCAAAAAGACGTCATTATTTAATCATGGTCCACACAGCTATAGATCCACACAATATCTATGGATGACATGTGCTCATGTGGTCATTTCGAGACCGTCACCAATAACCTATAAAGTTCACCTAAAATTTAGTTTAAATAATTTTTTTTTACCTAATATTTAAAATATTTTTGGATATATTCATTTAATGACATGTATATAAATATATATATATTTTACTTTGAATTCTAATATAGTAATATATGTGAAATTTTAATATCCGATATCCGGACCAAAGTTGTATTATGATATAACATAACTAAAAATATCTGAACCAATAATCAATATAATTGAGTTCAATCAAAATATAAAAATTAATATAGAATTCAATTTTTAACTTTGATAATGTGAATAATGTCCAACTATTAGCATAAGCAAATAAGTTATATTTAATTAAGTAAAGCAAGTAGAAAAGATTGAAGATAAATGAATGTAATCATAGTAATGAATAAATATGTAAGTAGACAATGGTAAAATGTGGTTACAGTGACATATAGTCAAATAAATGATAGAAAATTCTATTTTCTATTTAGAAAATAGTTTTTAATTAATAGTTTTTCACTTTTCTAGAAAACTAAAAAAAGTGTTTCCAATTTGAATTAATTTCACTTTTGGTCCCACGACTTTAGAGGATCTATCACTTTTGGTGCACAACTTTAAAAGTTTTCAATTTTGGTGCCTAACTTTGTTGTTTTTATCAATTTTGGTCCTTTCAACCAAATTGACGATGAAATATTGCCGGACTTTATATTTTTAGGGGTAAAATCGTCATCCCAAGGAAACACCTTCAATATCTAAACAAAATCACTCTAAAATCATATCTATAGGTGTTTGATCGATGAGAATAATTGGGAAGACGGACAGAAACTAGACACAGATCTATGAGATTTATAGCATCGACGATTGCCAAACTCTTATATTTTTCTTAACATGATTTTTCTTTTGTTTAGATATTGAATATCTTTCCTTGGGATGACGATTTTGCCCCTAAAATGTAAAATCCGGCAATATTTCGCAGTCAATTTGGTCAAAAGGACCAAAATTGATAAAAATAACAAAGTTAGACACCAAAATTGAAAAAATTTAAAGTTGTGCACCAAAAATGATAGAACCTCTAAAGTCGTGGGACCAAAAGTGAAATTAGTTCTTTCCAATTTTTACAATGGAAAACTGTGCTAGTAAACATGCTTTTTGTTTCTGTTCTCTAATTTTCTAGAAAACTGGAGAAATTTTTCAGTTAGTAAACGAGCCCTTGAAAATTTTCCGGTTTCATAGCCTAGTACGTGATTGAAATATTATGGTTTAGTCGGTATGTTGGTGCCTAAGCAACCAAACATTCTAATTACTGAAAAAGTGGTTGAAAATTTTGCTTACTTAGATTAGTGATCAAAATTATGAGAATTTTTATAGATTCCAAAAATAGCTAGTGAGAAGGTTTGTGTTTTCTTAAAATCTTTCGATTTCCAATCACTTTTAGATTGTCGAAAATCTAAAACGGGGGAGAGACATCATTCCACTATTTGAAAAACAAGTTCGCACCCTTTGCTTTAGCTAAAGCGTAAGCAAGCTTGTTCAAGTTACGACTAACATAATGAACACTACAATCCAATAAAGCATGAATAAGAGCAGAACACTCAACAACTAAAGAACCTACGTAGGAACGCGGTAATTTAAAATTTATGTATAAATTTATATGTTAACTTCATGTATGAACTATTTTTTTTGCTATGCCCCTGACTTGTAAAATGATAGGACCGAGGCGAATTATAAAAGTACTCTTATAAATAATTTGAAAATAAAATAAGTAAGAAACAAAAATTTTTATTTTTATTTTTCTCTAAAATACATGTCAATATTAAAATATATTTTTGAAAATAAAAAAAAATCAATATTTTTATTTTATTATTATTTAATAGAAATACTTTACAACAGCCAATAGTTTCGAAGCAAAATGCCCACAGATTAGGTGTTCCGTTCGTTTTATTCTTATCGTGTTTCCAAAGTGCAACGGATAAGAATTTATATAATATATATGTTCTCCAAAACAAAAAGAATTTATGTAATATGTAAAAAAGAAAAAGATTATTTTCTCTGTCTCTCTCTTTCTACTTGTTTTAAATGTTAGTAACTATATTAAAATGTAATAATCTATTACAATGTAATATTCGCGAATAAATAAAAACCTAATCATTGCTATTACTGCCCAAATTTTGTAATTTATAATTTAAATGATGAGATATTTTTCCAATGGGCTTGCCTCACTCCCACTGTCTCCACACTAGAAAAACCACGTCCTCCTTTCACTAGCAAACATCCAACGCACTATCTCTTTCTCACCCTTTTATGTCCAATTCAATTCATTTCAATTCCCATCCTTTAAAGCTCAAATTTTTAGCCACACCCACCTTACAACCCCTCCACCACCACCGCCGCCACCACCACCACCCAATTTCCCGACCGAAATCATTGTTTTCTACTCTCCAAACCCACTTTACTTTTCGTCTCAATTCAACTACTACCATGATAACCGCCCCAAACACAATATAATGATTTTGTAAGTGCCTTGAATAGTGGATATCACCATGGAAACCCAATCTGAACACCACCTTTTCAATGGAGCGTGTCGGGGTATTATTTTCGGGAAGTACGAGATGGGGAGGCTGCTGGGTCAAGGAACCTTCGCCAAGGTGTACTACGGCAGAAACCTGGAAACCTCCGAGAGCGTGGCCATCAAGGTTATCCACAAAGACCATGTGGCGAAGAAAGAGGCCATGATGGAGCAAATCCAGCGGGAAATCTCAGTCATGCGATTGGTGAAGCACCCAAACATCGTGGAGCTCAAAGAAGTCATGGCTACCAAGCACAAGATCTTCGTCGTCATGGAGTACGTCAGGGGCGGCGAGCTTTTCGATAAGGTCGCTAAAGGGAGGCTGAAAGAGGAGACGGCGAGGAAGTATTTCCAGCAATTGATCGGCGCGGTGGACTTCTGTCACAGCCGCGGCGTTTCTCACCGGGATTTGAAGCCGGAGAATTTGTTGCTGGATGAGAATGGGGATTTGAAGGTTTCGGATTTCGGGCTTTCGGCTTTGCCGGAGCAGCAGAGGAATGATGGGCTGTTGCATACGCAGTGTGGAACTCCGGCGTATGTGGCGCCGGAGGTTTTGAGGAAGAAAGGGTACGACGGTTCCAAGACTGATGTTTGGTCTTGTGGGGTGATTCTCTATGCTTTGTTGGCCGGTTTTCTTCCATTTCAAGACGAAAATATGATGACAATGTATAGAAAAATGTTCAAATCACAGTTTGAATTTCCGCCATGGTTTTCCCCGGAATCCAAGAGGCTAATTTCCAAGATCCTAGTCCCAGATCCTGACCGGAGAATCAAGATTCCGGCCATCATGAGAGCCCCCTGGTTTCTAAAGGGATTCAAATTTCCAATTCAAGATGATCCTGAGGAGGAGATTAAGGAACCGGGTTCTCAAATAACCTCCAAATCATCCCCGCCGTTCTTCAACGCGTTCGAGCTAATCTCCTCAATGGCTTCCGGGTTCGACCTGTCGGGCCTCTTCGAGACCCGCCGGAATTCTGGGTCACTTTTCACGTCAAAATGTTCCCCTCCTGATATCCTGGCGAAGCTGGAATCGCTGGCCAAGAAGCTGAATTTTAGAATTGCGTGCGCCAAGGAGTTCAAGGTGAAGATGCAGGGGAATTCCGAAGGGCGGAAGGGGAAGCTCTCGGTGACCGCCGAGATGTTCGAAGTGGCGCCGGAGGTGACGGTGGTCGAGTTCTCAAAGTCCGCCGGCGACACGTTGGAGTATAGGAAGTTCTGCGATGAAGACGTTAGACCTGCGCTTAAAGACATCGTTTGGACATGGCAGGGTGAGAGTAACTGTCAAAGTTAACCGTATAATGGTAGGCTCTGTAATTATAGGTCCATGCGAGATAAAATAGTTATTGTAAGTTGAGGTTGAATTTTGTGAATAGGGGGTGATTATGTAAACTTCACTTATACCACCATTCTCATGAGTTTTCAGGTTGATCTTATTTGGAGTTAATCAAACAAAGTCATTTGCTTTAATTTCATTTTTAGTGTAAGTAATGATATGTAAAGAGAACTACTTGTAAGTTGTAACCAACTGGTGGGAATAGGGGTTCGATCCTCACCATGTGAATGAAGTAAACCATTTGGCCAGCAATCTATCGTTTAGTGCACTGAACGTTACGACGGGAATTAGTCTTCTGGCCTGAGGAATACCTAGGCAACAAAAAAAAAAAAAGGTTTAAATTGGTTAGTGAACGTAACCTGAAAATGCAATTACGCCACTGAACGAAAAAAAAGTGCAATTAGGCAACTGAACACTCTAAAAACGTGCAATTAAGCCATTAAACACTCCAAATGTATGCAATTTCACCGAATATCATGTTACCATCAATTTTAGCAGGTTACTTGCTTACGTGACAGCTAATTTTTAATAAATTTTAATAATAAATTAAAAAAATAAAAATAAAACAAAAATTTATTAAAAATTACTTAAAAATGCCAACTCAGTTGTCACGTAAACAGGTAACCTGCTAAAATTGATGATAACCTGCTATCAGGTGAAATTACATACATTTGGAGTGTCCAATAGTCTAATTGCACTTTTTTTCATTCAGTGGCCTAATTGCATTTTCAGGTTACGTTCAGTGGCCAATTTAAACTTTATTCCAAAAAAAAAAAAAAAAAAAAAGAACTGGTTGAATTGAAAAAAACGATAAAAGTTGTTTATTTTGCCTTTTAAGGGCTGGGTAACTTTATGAATCACATATTTGCTTTTCAACTAGCAGGTTCACTTTTAGAATGGCATCTTGTAATTTCCTATCATAATACTTCAATTATGTGACAAATTTGAAAATAAGTTTGCTTTCTTTACTTGTTTTAAGGTGGCAATTAATTAAGTTTGCTTTCCTTGTTTTAAGGTGGCAATCTTCGGTGATGGTTGTTGGATGGTTCTTACCCCAAGATTCTTTCGGTTGATTATAGCAATTTGTTTTTAGGGGCTCTCTTATGTTGTTTTGTGTTGGCCAACATATTTTGCCTTTCCTAATTCTTTCATTCGATATCGTACGCAACTTTATCTTTAACGTATTTTTCATCATTTCGAGTAAAGAACAAATACATACTGTGTAATCCAGGATGCTCAGTATATTTATAGTTAGGGTCACATAAATTTTTGCCTTATAATTAACTTATTATGATTAAATTAATTTATTATGAATATTATATTATAAATAAATAATATTGAAGGTGAATATGTTGTATATGGAGAAATTTACTATTAGAGAGATATGATTAATTGTACTCCGTAATACATACTTAGCATGGCCCTACTAGCCTGCAGAGACTAAACTCACTCGTCCAGTCACTAAGTAGTATTTGAGAGAAGAAAAAGTTACTTACCAATTAGATGTTGCCACATCATGAGGGATAGATTGGAGGAAAAAAATATTAGGGGTCTCTAGCATTTTTTTTTTATTTTTATATTATTTTTATTTTTTTTAAGCTTTTATGGTAATAGTTGTTTGAAGCATTTAAGTATGTTGACAAGTTTGAATAACTTTTTTAAAAATATTAAATTAGGGGAATATACTTTGTAAATTAGAGGGAATGAAATATTATAGTCCTTGTAATGGCTTAACGAATTGAACATACAATAATGCATTTAACAAACATGTAATTATTATTTAATGTAATAGTAGGTTAATTAAATAATCAATATAGATTTCATTTAAAATATCTAAAAAAAAAACTTGTTAATAATATATTTTTATATATTAATTTATTTGTACAAACAGAAAAAGAAAAAAAAAATTAGGTTAGAAAAAGAATTTAAGGGAGAAGAATTAATTTATTAAAACTAAAATTAAAATTCAAAATAATTTTAAAAAAAATTCTCAATCACTCATTTCTCAACTGGTTCTCTTTCATTATAATTATTACAACACAAATAAATACTTTGAGTGTACACACAAATTAATGAAATTGTGTCATGCAACGTACAATGCCTTTGGACTACAAATTCTAGAAGTGAGGGGATTTCTTAATTCTTAGCATGGCCCTACCAGCAAAATAATGGAGGTCCTTCAAAAAAAAAAAAAAATAGTGGTTTGTAAAGTTTAGATGAATCTGGGTGTGAAGGAATAGGGTATTAGGGACCACAAACTTTGATATTGTCACTTTCTTTGGTTAGATAGATGGCAATTTCTAATTTAAGCTTTGTAACAATGGTGGGTGGAGAGTTTAGCAGGTGGATGTTGGGGATTGGGTGTTGGGGAAGAGCATGGCCCACTAGGTCATGGCGAGTCAAAATGACCACACAACTTGTGGGATTGCGACTTGTGGCGAAACAACAGAGGTGAACAAAAATACTTTGTGTCGGGCATTATTGGAGGTTGGTATATGTATATATATGTTAAGGATTTAATTTAATTTGGATTTGGATGTCAATTATCATACTTTGCATATTTTAATTAGAATAATTGTTTTGATTTGAATATAATGTCAAATTAAAATTAAATATTTTAGTTTTGATTTGAGTTAGTATTTAAAACAATTATTTTAAAACACCATTCAAATAATCTAATACGGACTACGGAGTATATTAGAATAGGATGGAAAGTCCGATCCTAATAGTCTATTAGCACACCTGTATGTGTACTTTTTACAAATATATTTCACCATTTTTTTTTTTAAATAAAGAAACTCATTCATTTAATACGATTATAAATAGGATCAGTACGTAGAGCGGTATACCATTCCTTACCGTCAAACATAGAAATAACTTCCATAGTAATGCTACAAAGAACTTGATTCGCAGACTGTTTCACAATTTGAAGCTAAATTCGTTGGATGAACTTAACGCTAATTAATATCATTGAAAAATTGATCAAACGTAGTCAAGACTGACTTTGGTTGAAAAGTCTTGCACACCACCTGAGTATCTGTTTTCAACATTCCGTTCATTGACAATATATCTATGAGGCCGAACTGCATATGCTCTTTTTCATTGTCATCTTTAATTTGTAACCCAGGATGAGGTTCACATATACGTCATGACCAACTTTTATGTTTCACACTTATGAAGAAAAGAACTCGCCAAAAGAAACAAGAGGAAAACAAACTTTTCAGTCGTCACACAAACGAGAAAAACACAAACACATACAGAACACAAAAGAAAAGGGAAGGAACTCTTGAACTTTATTTTACGGATTCACTAAAATCAAAGCACCTCATTATCCAGATATGGTTGAATCCTTGAACTTTGAAACTTTTGCAACTTCCTTGAAGGGTTGGGGCTGAATCGACAGTGGAAGTTATGAAACTAAAAAAACAAAAAACAAAGGAAAATATGAGACCGCCGGCCAAGGACGCGCCGACACGAAGCTCCGTCAAAGCTTCGGCCAGATCTGGCCAGAGACTGCGACCAAAAAAGAAATAAGGTTTCGAGATACGATATGTTAGGGTTAATATAGAGTAAATACCCAAAATGGTCCCTCGACTATAGCTAAATTCACAAATTAGTCTTTGACTTTTAATTTCAACCAATTAAGTCCTTAACTTTGCAATTATGACACGATTTGGTCCTCCATCTATTTGACCGTTTGTTGACCGTGATCGACGATCTCCAGAAGAACCTTCAGTTCTCGTCGGAGCACGTGGAGGCCTCCAAGATGACGTTGCACCGGTTTGGAAACACGTCGTCTTCTTCGCTCTGGTACGAACTCAACTACATTGAATCCAAAGGGAGGATGAAGAAAGGCGACCGGATTTGGTAGATTGCTTTCAGCAGTGGATTCAAATGTAACAGTGCGGTCTGGAAATGCAACCGGAACTTTAAAAAACCGACTATGGATCATGAAAGTACATATATATCCTCAAAAATCACAGTCAACAAACGGTCAAATAGACAGAGGACCAAATTGTGTTAAAATTACAAAGTTAAGGACTTAATTGATTGAAATTAAAAGTCGAGGACCAATTTGTGAATTTAGCTATAGTCGAGGGACCATTTTGGGTATTTACTCGTTAATATATTTCACATCTTTTAAAAAGTAAATTTAAACTTTCATAATTCACTCTCAATCAATATATATAGTCGATCTACTGCTCCTGTGCATCCACCATGTTATATGAGTCCCTATGAACAGATATGAGCCATTGAATACTTGAGATCAATGGCTTAGATTTGGCCAACTGTGCAACTGGGCACTTCACTTGCATAATTCGCGTTGCACAGTTGGCGGAATCTAAACCATTAATCTCAAGCATTCAATGACCTAGATCTGTCACACGGACTCATATAACAAAATAGACTCATTTGATCATATATATATATATATATATATATATATATATATATATATATATATACTAGTTTTTCTACACGCTTTGCGCGAATAGGATAATGCCCAATACTTACTTTTAAAAATAAGTATTTCAAAGTATATTAATGCAATATTATATAGAAGATGTCCATGCATAGGTAAATAAATGTTGAATTTGTTTATTTAAATCGGTAATTTAAAGTATATAAATGCAAGATAATATATGAGAGATTGATTATATATAACTGTCACAAAATACATGTTTGCAACTTTGTAATAACGTTAATCTAAGTACTAAGTCTAAAAGCGATAGTCTAAATAAATACTATTTTTGGTTTAAATGTTTCTAATTCTCTTTTAGGTAGCATTGTTATTGTTTTCATTTTCAGTACATGTCTTTTTTTTTAATTTTTTTTTTAATTTTTTTTTTATTGGTAGTGTGTCATGTGCAATTGGTTTATTGGTAGTATCATAGAGGGATTCACCATGCAATGAGATTATGATGTATGAAGTTTTAGATTTGTCTTGTTGTGTATATGACTGAGATCTTAGTTGTGCTATAAACTCTTTATCTTACAAGCACATGTTGATATTTGGTAGTGGTAGTTTTCCCTACATGTTTAATGTGTTGTGAGACATCTAATTCTAAATTAATTAAATGCATATATATTATTTTTTGTTGTAGCTACTAAATTATTTTTTAATTTAAGTAAT